TATTTGAGTTGCGGAGCTGAAGATTTCAGTCCTGGGAGAGAGAAAGAGGAGATTGGCTCAGTGCTGCTCCACTTACTCAGCACATCTGCTTTCATTCACATGCCCCATACACACTGTGCAGAATATTTCATCAGCCTTTTAGACAGTGTTCAGTGGCTGCTTTTTATAGAGCACCGTTTTTAAATGATCAGTCAAGCAGGACCTGATCGATGGGGCATACATTAACAGAAAGCAGCGGCCTGACAAGACTTTGAGACCTCTCATTTAATGCGCAGAGGTCAATAACCCATTATACTAAGACAGCAAATGTAGCGTGACGTTACTTTTTGTCTTTTTCATCATCCTGTTTTCTTGTCTCCACAGAACTCCGAGAGAGATATCAGCTATGGATGTGCATCAGGCCATTTGCTCTATTCCCACCTGTGATTTTTTGACTAATAGGTAATTTTGCTCTTATTTTAGAGTTTTTTTTTTTTTTTTTATATAATCAGCGTTCCACTTTCCACATTCTACAATGGCATGAAAACATAAGAACGTTTTAAAATTGTAAATAAAAAATAAGTAAATATAAAATAATTATTAGTACTCATGGAAATACCCCAGTAATGTTATTCTCAGGCCATATTAATTTTATTTTGCAATGTGGAAGTTTTAAAACTTCAGATTAATTTATTTTCAGGAAATGACTTGGAAAAATAAACAGCAGTAAACGGTAAACAAACAACATTGTCGTTTTATGTGTTTATGACAATAAACAGTACTTACGGTGCATCTGGAAAGTATTCATAACGCTTCACTTTTTCCACATTTGTTCATGTTACAGCCTTATTCCTTATTCTGGATTAAAGTCATTTATATCTTCAAGATTCTCCACACAATACCCCATAATGACAATGTGATTTTTTTTTTTTTAATTGTTGCAAATTTATTAAAAATAAAAAACCTGAAAAATCACACGTACAAAAGTATTCACATCTTTTGCTGTGAAGCTCTAAATTGAGCTCAGGTATATTCTGTTTCCACTGATCATTCTTGAGATGTTTCAGCAGCTTATTTGGAGTTCACCTGTGGTAAACTCAATTGATTGGACATGATTTGAAAAGGCATACAGCTGTCTATATAAGGTCCCAGGGTTGAGAGTGCATGGCTGCGTCCGAAACCGCCTACTACTCAGTAGGTACTGTATTTGAATTTAAAAGTACTACTCGGCCGTTAGAAAAGTACGTTCTATACAGTATGAATTTGAAAAGTATGAATGGAATTCGGACGTACTGCATTCGCCATTTTGTCATGGTCACGTGACCTACCTGCGTCAGTTGTGTCGCCTCACTTCCATTCATGAATTCTCTCATGGGGCATTATGGGATAGCGCAGCGTGCATGGGATGCGCACTTCAAAATCTTGCCGGAAGTAGTAAGTCATCCGGGTACTTCTCGCCTACTGATTTTCGAATTCTATGAATTCGGACATACTACTCGGCTCGCATACTGATTTTAGCGTACTATATAGTATGGAAGTATGCGGTTTCGGACGCAGCCCATGTCTGTACGTTGTCCCAACCTGATAGAGCTTGAGAGGTACTGCAAAGAGGAATGGGCAAAAATTCCCAAAGACAGGTGTGCCAAGCTTGTGGCATCATATTCAAAAAGACTTGAGGCTGTAATTGATGCCAAAGGTGCATCAACAAAGTACTGAGCAAAGACTGAATACTTATGTACGTGTGATTTTTCAGGTTTTTTATATTAATACACTTGCATTAATGGCTAAAAGCTCAAAACAAAATATCTTCCAAATGTCCTTAAATATTTATATGTTTTTCATTGGCTCAGTTATAAAAAAAAAAAAAAAATAAGTACAAAATAATAAAATAAATATAAATTGACACGGAACTGTGCCTGGTAAAGGCTCATGTTTTGCACTTATATATTAATTTGACTGATTTGCTTCATCATAGCAATTCATTTACATAATGTAAAATAAATAATAAAATAAAAGATAATAAATATAAAAAAAATGCTCAGACTTTACCATAAGATTTCATAATTTAATGTATTTACTGAAGTAATTATGAACAATACTTGTATAGCATTTATTAATCATAGTTCAACATTTACTAATGCTTTATTAGCATCCAAATTCATGCTTGTCCACATTAGTTAATATACGGTGAGTTACCATGAACTAAAAATTAACTGTATTTTCATTAAATAACATGAACAAATACTGTAATGTATTGTTCTTTGTTTGTTCATGTTAGTAAATGCATTAACTAATACAACCTTACTGTTAAGTGTTACTAAATATATATAAGTAATCGTGGATGTCTAACAGATAGTTATACTCCCATTAAAGTTTGCCATTGGTGCTGAATTACCTGTCGTCAATGCAGTTTCAATAAGATTTTTACAAATCCTTTAATGTTAAAGCATATGTCTTGCAATTGAATAGTTGTAATGTATGTGTGGAATCCTATATCTCTGTTACTGCAGCTTTGTTTAACCTTCCCATGAACTCTGTCTCTGATAGGTACATGGGCATCATGGTGAAGGATGAAGGCCATGCTGAATAATTTTACAGCTTCTTCGCGTGATCTGACCACAGATGGACAGGTGGACCGCTCACTCCTTCCTCTCACATTCTATAAAGGTGGAAAATGTGACCAATCACAGGCCCATGTCCTTACAGGAGTCAGACATTGTCGTGACAACAGCTCAGTTTATATACTGAGTGTATTAAAACCAAGAGTAACATCAAAAAACAATAACTTTGAAGGGTTGACGCTCAGCCTGAACAGTATTTGTTTTATATGCCTCTATTTATTCCATCTTTCATTAATTAATTCTCTGGTATTTATAAAAGATGGTCTGGTTTATTATTCCAACTAATGTACAGTGTTATCTTTTTAAAGAAACACAATTCAGGCCCCAGTTATGTCAATAATAGTGAATTTACTCTTAAATTAACTTATTCTGACTTCACAGAGTCTTTCAATCTCTGCAAATGCAACCATCACATGATTTTGCCGTTGACGCAGAGCTGTTTAACTTGTCTTAGTTTTAAAGGGGCAGTTCACCCAAAAATGGAAATTCTGTAATATTTGCTCACCCTCCACTTGTTCCAAGCCTATTTGCATTTCTTTCTTCTGGTAAACGCAAAAGAAGATACTTTCTGAAGAATGTGGAAAAGCAGCAGTCATTGACTGTCATAGTAATTTTTGTTCCTACTATGGATGTCAATGGCTGCTGGCTTCCAACATTCTTCACTGTAAAAAATTCTGGGTTCCACACAATTGTTTTGTGTTGGAACAATATGAAGGAATTAAATTAACTTAATAGTTTTTACAAATTTAAATGAATTGAATATAAAACAATTAATTTGTTCCCCCTATAGAACTCTAGAATTGTGTTGTTTTGGCTATTTTTAATTAAGTAGTTTGCACAATCAAACACATCATTGTATCATGTATTGTGTTCAATTCAAGACAGAAATTCTTAAAATTTTAGAACCACCTATCCCTTTAAGGAATAGTTCAGCCAAAAAATGACTTTTTGGAATGATTTACTCGCCATTTTGTTGTTCCAAATTCTTAATTTTGGGTATTTCTTTCTTTAAACTAAAGTATAGACATTTATTCAACCATTAAACAGGTTAATGGACGGTTACTTGTTTCGGTAACTTTTTTCAATAACAGTACATGAATAATGATGTATTAATATGTAAACTAAACATCACTTTATTATGAATTAATCATGGGTTGAGGCACACACTAATCATGAACTAACTTTATAACACCAGTCACAAGAGTTCTTGTGTGAATAACGGCTACCTAATTTAGTTTTTAATATATGTTGTTAATTAAATGCTAATTAATACATTAATTAATACATTAAGTTTAGGCTAAATGTAACTAACATGAACTTGTGCGCTGTCAATGTATAAATATGTCATGACTTTACTTGGAGGGGCACATTGCCATTAACTCATCCTTACCTACTCATGAACTCCTGTGTTTAAACTGTTCATGTTGATGTTGTAAGAACACTTTTCGGTAATACTTTAGTTTAGATCACATTTCAAACTGTTACTACTGGCTTATTACCTGCCCCTTATTAAGATATTAACTTTTCATTAGTAGTTATATAGTATGATTTTATTCTGCTTCCCTGAGCCTACCCAAAACCTAAACCCAACTTCCACCTTACTAACTATTAATAAGAAGCTAATTAGTCATTTATAAGGCTAAAGGTTTTAGTTAATGGTTTGTTAATACTGTTAATTGTGATCTAAACTAAAGTGTTGCCCACTTTTCTTTTATAATTCAGTGTAAACACACTAGACATCCGTAAGGAGTTCATGAGTATTTAAGAATGGGTTAATTATGATGTGTCCCTCCAAGTAAAGCCATGATATAATTATACATGTATAATTATACATTAAAATATACATTATACATTAAAATGTCATGAGTTCATGATAATTAAATTAATCATAAACTAATCTGGTAATTAATACATTAATTAACAAATAATCATGTACTAACAAGTAATTAAGGTAGCCGTTATTCACAAATGAACTCATGTGACTCATGCTGTAGTTAAAGATAGATGCTGTAGTTAAAGATGTAGTTAAAGTTTATAATTAGCGCACGCATTACTCATCATTAGTTCATAATAAAGTAATGTTTAGTTTACATATTAATATGTCCTTATTCATGTACTGTTATTTTAAAGTGTTACGCTTGGTTCTAAAGTGTCCTATTGAGCAGTTTTTATTTCAATACGTTGACCTTAATCAGCTCATGTGAAATCATCACTGTTCAATGTCTTTTAATCTGCTCTTAAACGGCCTATTGCTCAAGTGGTTCATTGGGTAGAGATCAAATGTCCTTTTAAGTCACTTGTTGAATGTCTAAGAAGAGTCTTAATCATGTTGTGTTCATGTGAATATTCATTGGGGATTATGAAGGACTGAACTTCAGCGTGGAAATGTCATTAGTCTTCTTTTTTTTTTTTGTACTGTGTCTATGATTTGGTAACGCTGAGGAAAATGTCTGTCCTCTAGTTTGGTGGGCTATTTTGTGTCATCCGTTTCTGTGTGTGCTGGTGGATAAAACACATCAAGAAAATTGATCTGGTGTGGATGGAGGAGTGGGCTTATTCAGTGTTAAAGTCAACTGGGCAGTCGTCACTTGTGTAACCGAGCTCCTGAATGTTTTTCCTTCACATTGTGTATCCAAAAAAATGGCTATTCTTGTATTAAAATGGTAGATCTGCCACTAAGTTGGATACATCTGTGATTTTTTTTTTCCTAACTGCCGTTACAAATGAAATGCATGACACAGCAAAAGAGAAACTGAAGGAGGATTTTGTGGAGGAGGCTGTGCGTAAGCAGACTTGTTTTTGAGGAAGAAGGTGAAATGGATGCATATTTTCATGCCTTATTCCTCTTCATATTATGCTGGGTTTTTGTGCTAAAGCTTTGTTTTTATTTTGTAGCACTTAAGAAAGATACAGTGGTCCCTCGCCATAACTTGGTTCACCTTTCGCGGTCTCACAGTTTTGCGGGGGGTTTTTTTGTGCAATTTGACATGCTTTTTTTTATACAGCACATTGTGTTCTGCGTCCTGATTGGCTGTAGACAATTGTTAATCAATCTACTATGTGCCATGTCACCTCTGTAGTAGCTTGCCAAATTTACATAAATCTTTGATTCTTGCAGTGAGACTCTAAAGTGCTGAACTTTTTGTTTGCTAGTTTTTTCCCCCAACCAAGCCCATAATTTCGACGAAACATTCTGCAAAAGGCAGAAGATGCTAACTGTCGCACAAAAAGTTGTACTTCTGGACTAAAGGAATGCTAAAGGAAGGTAGAAGTTACACGAAAGATTAAATAAGAGAAAAGTGTGAATGGTAAAGCATGTCTGAGAAAAGTGTATAAAGTTTGTAGTGAGGGGTTTTACAGCCTTAAAATATCTATAATATTTGTAAAAAAAAAAAAAAAAAAAGAAGCAGACTTCTTCCCGGATTTCACCTATTGTGGGATATTTTTAGAATGTAACTCCTGCGATTAGTGAGGGACGATTGTATTGGCAAAATGCCATCAGTAGAAAGTCAGTCTGGCCTCAAGATTAATTCTATGCCTAACTCAAATTCTTAGAAAGGGAAAATACATTTAGGTGACATACAGCTCTGTTGTTTTCTAAAAAAAAAAAAAAAAAAGGAATGATACAGTGTCATTTTTATTCCCTCATCGATCAGCATAATCCTGGTGAATATCAGACAGAGATCATACAAACATATTAACATGGCTACATTTAGATGTTTTCTTGAGTGCTGTTTTTTCACAACTCTCATTTTTGTTGCGAATAAATGTTGTTAGCTGCAGTTCACTTACTGGCCACCAGTGTCATAAGCATTTTTGGAAATGGAAATTTATGCAATCTAGAATCTGAGCGTTCAAAGAAAAAAAATCTAAATATTGAGAAATCTTCTGTGTACTCGCACTAGGCTATCCGAACCATGCCTGGGCACATTTGACCCCCATTTCCTGGTTCGTTTGACAAGTGTGAGTGCTCTGTGTCTTACCTGGGCTGGTTCAGTTTGCCGGCTCTGGCCCAGTTGGATGAGGTGATCTGGAGCGCGGTTCCATTGGGCTTTAACTCAGTACGCTTGTAGTGAGAGTGTGCCTGAGTGTGAAACTGAAGACGTGACGTCACTTTTAAAGAACTGTTTCATATGAATTTATAACTCATTCTTACTTTTCAATGAACGCGAACCATAATAGTTTATTAAAGATAAAAACCCTGCACTGCTTGTCAGCTACACCCTCAGCAAACCTCATAATACCTGCAGCACCTTGACTTTTATGATCATTTATAATATTAATAATATCATATAATAATAATACGTATTACTCGAACATGTTTTTACTCAATAATGTGGACACATTTTAAGAATGTTATATTTATTTAAATATTTTGCCTTAGTTTCCCCATTTATCTCTAAACAAGATTTACAAAAAACTTGAAGTGTCCTTAAATCCATGAAAGGGAAGGAATCTTAATGTGCTAAAGTCTTCATGTGGGTTTCATAAAGGAACAGAGGGGTCTGGGGGAAGAAAAAGGGTGATAATAAGCACCCGCGTCCTCAGGCAGACATTAACAGATCCATAGAGGCAGACCAACATCACTATATACCAAACAATGTAATTAACTAGGCTTGCACAGAACACACACATACACACATCCAGACTGAGTTACCAGAATACGTTTTTTGTTCAACATTTTTAAGTGTGCATATTCAGTCGATTCATAAACTATTACGAAACATGCAGATATTCATTCAGCAGTGACGGGGACGAGGCGAGCTCGGCACAATTTGAGGCTTGCAAACTTTTTTTTTTTTTTTTTTTTCAGTCACACACACACTCTTTCTCTCACTCCTGAACTTGAAGTGCATTACAAACACATCCCTCTTGTTGACATTTGAAGCATACATTCTCTTGCATAGATTTTACATTGTGTAAATTTCCAGCAAAATTCCTCCGGTTCTGTGATTTCCTCAGTGGAATGTTTTACAGATGTTGCTTTTTACAAACTTTCGTCTCTTTTCATCATGTTTTCCTTTTGATTATCCTCCAGTTTCTCAACATTCAGGTGTCTCTTTAGACATTCCATCTTTTTTATTTATTTATTTTTTGTATGGTTTCCTCTTGTAGTGAATTAAAGGCTGAATCCGATGTAAATGTGGCTCTTTATGTTTGGAGCTTTATGGGATCATATGTTGAAGATCCTGGATTTGCTTTGAAAGACGGCAGATGGGTTTGGTGACAGCTTGGTCTTCTGCTCCTGTCGCACATGAAAAGCAGAAATTATTGTTAAAATAATCGTCAATGAACAAAATACACATAGATATGTCTATTATATTTGAACTAGTCCTGGGCAAAGATTAGTCGCAATTCATCGCACCTAAAATAAAAGTTTTTGGCTTGTGTGTGTATTATATATTTGTATTTAAATACACACACACAGAAAAAAAACTGTACAAAACTATTTTGTTATGTAGATATTTGATTTAATATATAATTTGTACTATTTACAGTACTGTGCAAAAGTTTTGGTCCCCCAACAGTTTTGGTGTTTCATCAAAGTTTTAATGACCTTCCAGATATAAGACAGGTCTCTGCATTAAGATATAAAGAGATGGAAAATAAATGTGTACACAACATTGAGAAAAACAAAACACTCTTTTCAGAATAAAATGACTCCTGCTAGCAAAAAAACTGTATTTAGCATGAGTCTATATAAGTTCGTCTTCTAATTTGTTTTTTTGTATTTTTTGCTTTTTCCCTCTTTTCCTCTGCCGTTATAATACTATGTTAAGGTCTGGACACTTTGGAGGACATTTCATGACCGTTTTAGCTGTTTTTGTTTATACATTTTTATAATGAATTAGGGTTGAGCGATGTCTACCAGTTTGTCATTGTTCGATGTCTAATGTGAAACATCACGATGGACGATGGCATCATTGACATAGGTTGCGGTAAATTCATTATTTATGAATAATTAATTAATTTTTAACAAATGAATTATTTGTAGCCTACTATTTCAACTAACTAACCCGCATGCTCTTTGTTTTACCCATAATCAAGTCATAAACAAATGAAGATAAATTACACACAAATTACCTCCTGTCAATCACTTATTCCGTGGGACTCTGGCATGAATAGGCAGAGTGATCTGTGTTGTTATAATGGTGTCAACAAACTTGGTTGATAAAAAAAGATGCACATGCACCAGTATCTGAGGTTTTCGCTAAAATTACTAAGAACAAGTGTGAAAGCGAAAGATTAAAGCAATGTACTGATGCTGTGACAAGTTACCAAAAGGCAGAAGAGTCGTTAGATAGAGACACGATGAATTAAATATCACATTTAACAACTGTAGACCGATGCGATCCAGCGGTACATCCTTGATAAACTGTTTGATGTTCACTGCTTTCTGGGGTTTTGTGCTCAAAGCACCCCCTGAGCTGGAGCTGGAGCTCAGACGAGTGCATAACTGTGTGTGTGTGGTCATGTGATGTGCATTTTCACTGTGTGGATGAAAGGCTAATCAGAAATGCTAGATGAAATGTCGGTGCGGATGTGGATCGTTTTGCCATTTTAAAACTAAGACGTATTGCTGTAAACGGGGCCTAAGTGTGTATTTTTCACAAGCAGGTTTGAGACTGTGGAGGGGTGGAGGATTGCGATGTCGGTCAAGCATTGTGACGTCTATCGGTCTTATTGACCCAACCCTTTAATGAATATCTATAAATATCATATAATTTCATATTCAATATAATTATCAGGTAAAGAGCAAGGGGTTATTATACTATATTATAAATAAATATAAATAATTATACCAAAATGACGAATCTAGTGGTGGCCAAAGACTTATGCACTGTAGTGTGTGTATGCAGTATATATATATATCATTCATTTTCTTGTCGGCTTAGTCCCTTTATTAATCCAGGGTTGCCACAGCGGAATGAACCGCCAACTTATCCAGCAAGTTTTTACGCAGCGGATGCCCTTAAAGCCGCAACCCATCTCTGGGAAACATCCACACACACATTCACACACACACACTACGGACAATTTAGCCTACCCAATTCACCTGTACCGCATGTCTTTGGACTGTGGGGGAAACCAGAGCACCCGGAGGAAACCCACGCAAACGCAGGGAGAACATGCAAACTCCACACAGAAACGCCAACTGAGCCGAGGCTCGAACCTGCAACCTTCTTGCTGTGAGGCGAACGTGCTACCCACTGCGCTACTGCGTGTGTGTGTATATATATATATATATATATATATATATATATGTAGCGACCCCTGATAAATAAGGGACTAAACCAAAGGAAAATGAATGGATGAATATAGATAGTACACACACTTTGTCAAAACAAACTTTTATTTTGGATGTGATTAATCGCGATTAATGTTTGCACTAAATTTAACTGATTTAGAAAGAAACTTTTTGCTGACAAACAAGAGAAATCTAGTCGTTTGAAACACACCAGCAACGTATAGGGATTCATAAAATGTGTATTATTCTAAATATGCACAAATATAACACAATTATTTGCTTCAAAAACTTGCACAGAATGACATTTTAGTGGGTATATAAAACATGAATATAGGCCGAGGCCGAATTTACACTCACAATCATTCCAAGTCTCCTATTATATATTATATAATCTTCATCCACCCTTCCTCCATCTGTCTCTCCTTTGTCTCAGAAATCTAATCCTTACTGTGGTGGGAAAAGAAGAAGCGATATGAGAAGCCAAGCAGTGGAGTTAAAATGAGATTTATTATCTACTGAATCATTCTCTCTCTCTCTCTCTGAACAATATGAACTCCGCACCCTCAGTTACACTTCACAATGGTGTACTATCATAGCAATGCTGGAAATGGTTTGTTTATAGTGTACAGAGTATGCAAATACGCCATTGAGACTGCCAAATATACAATTATTGAAATGAATGTCACATTTTCATAGTAACAGTATGTACACTACTATTCAAATGTTTGGAGTCAGACAAAGAATTTAATATGTTGATTCAGCATAGATGTTATAAAATAATTATATAAAATATGATAAAAAATAGGCTCTCCTTACCAACTTTTTCTTACTAGTTTTTTTCACACAAATGTTAAGCAGTTCAACACTATTTTCTTTCAGTTTTCAACACTAATAATATCAAGAAATGTTTTAACCTATTGTAATGGATTCTGATGGATAATGTGAAAATGAAGACTGCAGTTTTTATCATTGAGATTGTTGCGGTATTTATTAATTTGAAGTTATTTTATCTTAATAAATTTTATTTTCTGTTTTCATTTGAATTTTAGTTGAAAACATTAGTAATTTTGTTGTGTTTTAGGCCAAAGTTCCAATTCTACCTTTAAGCCCTTGTCCTTACCCCTACCCCTCGTTTTGCGTGTTCATGTGAGAATAAGAGGTGTCTCAAATCTCTTTAGCTTAAAGGCGTAGGGCTAAGGGGAAGATAGATATAGCTAGATAGCCCTTGAAACTGAGATTTTTCAGGACCACACTCAAAACCAAGGGGTACAAAAATTTCCCAGAGTACACCATCTACAGTGGCAGCATGACTGCACAAGCTGCACAAATTATTATTTTTTTGTCTTTTTTTTTGTCATCATTGCTAATTTTTACAACAAACAAGCATGTATTTTAATACATTCATAACCCCAATCGTGTTTAAAAAAAACAACTATTAAAAAAGCTAACTTTACTATCTATAATTCCTAATAATAACTCTTACATCTGACACTTGATGACACTCGAATACCCTGTCAGTAATGCCTAGTAGCTGTCAATAAGCTTTTTACAGTGTCTGCTATAATGTTAATGTTGTTTTTGTGTGTTTACATAGATGAATATGGCCAATGTTGTAAATGCACAGTATAGTTACAATCTTATTGCCACATTATATCATTATGATAACATTATATATGCCTTCAGTGATTTCCTGAAGATAAATACGAAAAAATAACACAACTGGAATAACTACCAACAGTTGCCATCGTCAATCTCATATGTAGTAAGAAATTGCGATGACATATGATGACGTGTGCAGGTGTTGTAGTGCTGTCTCACTTGTTTCCCTTCACACTTTGTTTTAAGGGTCAAGGGGAAGGGGTAGGGGTACAAAAATAGAATTGGGATTTGGCCATAGTTTCTATTTTTTAAACTATACATTTTTTTATCTTGCACATAAAATGTTGGGTTCCACAATTGATTTGAATTAACTTCTTAGTTTGTACAAATTTAAGGGGCAGATCACACGCGAACAAGCTTTTTGCAACTCTGAGCTGAAAAAGCACTTCACGTCACTCGCATCTTTTTCATTCTCTATTTAAATGAAAGCAGAGGCGGGATTTCTGTTAAGGTGACAGCAGTATTTGTGTTGTTAAGACCAGTGGTTTCCAAAGTGGAGGTCACAGGACAAACACAAGGTCGCTTGGTGATTTCCAAAAGTCAAATAAATTTTGTTAAACTATTATAATTACAATATTTTAACCATAACACACAGAAGATAAAATAGTAGTTTTAAATAGTAAAAACAACAACATGCAAATAAAAAAGCCATCAGCCTTTAAATTACTTTTTACATTAGATTGGTGTGTTTACGTTAGATTACCAACACAGCAATAGTGTCAGCTGCAGCAGATTGATTTTATAGCATCAGGTTAAACTATCTGACACCTTTATGCCAATTAAATACATTAAAAATAAATACAGGCCACAGCTGAATATTGAAAATGATCTCTGATCAGTGGTCTCCAAAATTAAACCAAGAATAGACTTGTGCTGAAAACATTGTGTCCACCAGTCTCTTTAGTTGAAGTTAATATTAAACAAATTAATAAATGACTATAAAAATGATATGGCTTTTAGACTGTTGCCCTTTTTTGTGCTGTCAGTATGCTCGTGTTTATATAGGCCTATTGTTATATGAGCAACGTTTGCATATTTATAACCACCTAAGAGAAATTTGGGGGTCGCGAGTCACTGACATTGTCATCTTAGTGGTCTCGGGTTTAAATGTTCGGGAACCCCTGGTCAAGACGGCTGCGGTGACTTTTAAAAAAAGAGAAGAGACTAGTGGTTGCTGTTTTGAGTTATCGGGAGCTGTATGACTTCACAAATTTTGAATATCACGCACTATTATTAAATATTACAATGATACCAATATCAACAGCAACACTCAATACGCAGCTGATTCGGTTGTTGCCTAGTGACATAAAAAGTGCACCGCACCTTTTTTTCTTGTC